CACATCTTACAATGTAACAGCTAAACCTCAGTTCACAGGTATCAGCATATATAGTTACATAGGTATTGTTTTATCTAGATCTTAACCATCTAGCAGAAAAGTATAAAAATGAGGTATAAAAAATAAAGCCATATTAATATACTGAGCTGTAAAAGGCTCAAGTCAACAACTTTTGTCATTGCCAATCCTATGTATAATCCACTACTATTATGGACTACTGGACAATATTGGATTATTTTGCTGAATTCATGCACCTACAATATTTCAATGGCAATGGAATACCCATCTTTAACAAAACTAACAAAAAAAAAGGGGATACAGAGGAAGGACCATTTTGTATTTGTATATACAAAATAGGACAGATATACAGCTACTTTCTCTTAATTCAATGAGTAGAAAGATTTGCATTAATAGTACTTGGACAGGATATCATCTCTGCATCTTGTACTATGAATAACCACTAAGAAGATAACAATATGCAATGTATTGATTATTGAAACTGTCCTATTAATCGGTTTTGAAACTGTCTCATTGCTGTTTCTCAATAAAATTAATTAAAAAATCCCAGCTAAACCTCTTCCTATGAGTCCAGAAGAAGAAAGAAAAGAGTTTTTAGGAGTCTTTCCTTTGAGGGACTGAGAATTTAATCCTGTTGGCTTGGGCCTGGTCTTTGCTTCTGCTTATCAGTTTGGAAAAATCACTGAGTTGTCATAAGTCTGAGAAATAGAAACTGGATTAGTATTTGAAAAAGTGGCAAGATTTCGATTGCACTAAACAATCTCAAAAGATACTACCTTCATTTTAATATTAAAATGTATCCATTAAAATTTTGATATTGTGCTTTTAAATACATTGTTCCAAAATTCAGTGTACACTTCCAAGGGATATAAATCTAAAATCATGTCATATGATGAAAAATGTACACTTAAACCATACTTGATGAATAAATATCAAATGTAATATTTAGGAAAAAAATGTATCAGATCTACATATGTGAATATAAAAAGATACCAGCAGAGAAAGGATATACAGCTATAATAGACCTTATTTCCCAGAATAATTTGGAATAAAAGACTTGAAGATCCAAAACTAAATCAATGCAAATATCTGTCTGTTGTAAGTATACTCTTTGACTAAATTGGCATGCCTCAAGTACAATTAGAAAGGTTATTTATAACGAAAAAATACATAATTCTGCATCTTAATGTCAATGACAATTACAACTGATGGCTGCTAATTAACATTACTTCTTTTGCTTTGGGTGTTAAGACATTTCTATATTTTTTATAGTTCACAATGGACACACCTAGCTGTGGAAGACACGAAAGGGTTAATAATCAGCAACATTTGCGCCCTTATACGTTCACTTGAGAAGTACATGGTAACCTGTCCATCTCTGGCATCACACCGGAGACCAAAGGACCAAGTCTAACTGATACTCTGAGTCTCACAGCAGCAAAGGTATATATTCAGCTTTCTTTCAGAGCTACCAGATGTTCAGAATGACAAGGGGAACAGTGCCTTCATGCCTCTGGAGAGAGGTAGAGTGGTCTGTGCTCACAGCTCAGGGGTGTGCGGTTAGTGCTGGAAGCTGGAAATGAACTCAAGAGGAAGAAGTGCTGCCCACAGTAGCCTGAAGCACAGAAGAATGCAACACCCTCTTTGCTTATGCTGTAAATTACATATTTATTTTGGTAGCCTGAGATAGATGAATATTTCTACATACCAAGGTGCCTAGCTAAAACCAGGATAAGTGATATTAATGTCCTATGGTCAGGACTATTGAACCTTGAAGGCAATAAACTTTATGAGTTGATAAATATTACATTTGCAATGTAGTTAACATTCCTTTACTGTCTCTAGCACTTATAACACATTGTAACTGGAAGTCTACAATACATTATTCATATTTGGGGTGTCACCAAATGATGGATTGCTGTAGGAAATGCTGTCTTTTAAATAAATCAACAAATAAAAATGCAAATGTTAACATTTTCAGCCATAACTTTTTCCATCTTGACTGGGGAATGAAAATTTTACATTATATTGACAGCCAGCAGAAGGAACAATTAACAGCCTACATTGTGAATGAGCAAGATGACTCTGCCATGCCAATTTTTTCCACCTGTACACAGAAAGATATGGGATGCTTCTATGTGTTTCACAGAACAAAGGAAAACCTGTATCTCACCAGCATCTGAACCATCCCTATTTTCCTTTACAAGTCTTATATATTCTTAAAATTTATGGTAGAATGGGGAAATAAATGTTTTCCTTTACATTCTCTTCAGTGCCTTCAATGATTTGTTAATAGAAAGAACATAGGGTTTTCTCTTATATTAAAGAGTGGGGATACACCTAAAAAATAGTCTATAAAAAGTGCAGACTTTCTATCCTTTGAAATAAGAACAATTCAAATAATCTCGATTCTGAGGTCTGGAAAGTGACCACTGACAATTGGTTTTCTTTTCTTTCTTTTTTTTGACAACTGGTTTTCATAGTAGTGTATCTTTTTTCAAATCTGAACATTGTGTAACAGATCAATAATATGCCATTGTACTCTTCTAAGGATAAAATCTGGTGTATACACATTGTTTCATTTAGCCAAATAATTATTTACAAACCTACAAGTCCACATTTAGTGGATCCAAAGCATTATAGATTAACAAAACATTTTTTAAATCCAAAAATATATCTTCACAACAATGTTTTTTAAAACATTGTTTTCCATGATATTCCTGCTTGTCAAATAAAAAAATAAAGAAATAGAATGAAAAAAAAAAAAAAAAAACCAAAACATTGTTTTGGTGGTGCTGGGGTTCAACTCTAGGTCTATGTATTCACTAAGACTTATAAACTATATAAAATTGCTATGCTCCATTCAAGATTTGTGCTGAGGATGTTTTTCAGAATCTTTATGGAGAAACATTGTATTCCCAATTTACATTCTTTTCTCTAAACCAAAATGCAGCCAGCTACCAGAAACCTATTATTACAGTGATGTTAAGGATTTCATTTTACTATTCAACAATAGGAAAATTCACTAAGATTAAAAATCCAGATCATTGCCCCCTTTTACCTAAATGTGAGCCAGATGGAAACTCTTTGAGAACAGTTTTCCGCCCTAATGTCCAGCCATCCAAAAAGGGCACCATCAATATTTCAGAATCATGTGTTAGTTTTAGTGGTACACATCTGTAATCCTAGCACTCAGGAGGCTGAAGCAGCAGGACTGTTGAGAGTTGAAGACCAGCCTGGCCTACACAGTGAGTGTAAAGCCAGCATGAGCTTCAGGGTGAGACACTGTCTCAAAAAACCAAACGAAACCAAGCAATAAATAAATAACACAACTCATTGTGGGTCTTTGGCAAATGTCAACAACTCTAACATTAGAAAATAACAATGGACAAGGTAAGTGGCAAACTGGTTAAATTTTCTTTTTTTAATTTTTTTTTTTATTTATGTGTATATGTGTGGTGTGTGTGTGTGTGTGGCCAGCTCAGCCCACCAGGGGGCAGGGCTGGCTGGCATGTGGTGCTGGGGGATTGAACTGCGGTCCCTGTGCTTTGCTAAGTTTGTTCTAAGTAGGTGCTTTAGATCACTGAGCCATCTCACCAGCCCCTAAATTTTCTTTTGATTGAGGGTGATTACTACAATAGGAAAGTAGCTGAAGATAATGGCTTTGGAGTGCACTAGGTAACCTTAGATAAGTCATTCAAATCCTTTGAAGGGATGGCCAGATAGCTCAGAGGATTAAAGCGCTGGCTTAGGCAGATACAGGGGCCAGGAGTTTGATCCCTGGCTTGCCATGCCAGACCTGTTCCCCTCTCCCCAACCCCAGGCATGCTGAATCAGCGATTGAGACTGGGTGTGGTGGTGCACACCTGTAATCCCAGCGCTTAGAAGGCTGAAAACATGGGAATCACACACTACGAGTCCAATCTGTGTATTGAGACCCTGTACTAAATAAAACACAAAAACAAATCCCTTAGAGGTTTAGTTTCTTATACTTTAAAATGGGGATGATAGTAGTCCCATCTCATTATAGTATCAAGGATAAATCAGATAATGTACAGTTTTGGCACAGTGCTGGGCACACACCATCAAGCACTTCATAGAGTGCAGTCACTTTATCCTCTGTGTCAGAGTCATTTCTCAAGTTCTTCTGATGCCTGTTCTTCTGGCTCCACAATTAAAGGTTTGACAATTAGAGACATAATTACAATGCACATTGCTTCTTAGTGATTTCTAGGATTGGCCTCCGTGAGGCAGTATTTCCATTGAACTTGGAAATTATAGTTTAGAAGAGACTTTAGAAGAGCTAATTCTTTCCTCCTTTTGAATGATTACAAACTAAAAGAATAAGTTTTATAATGTACAGTACCTTTAAAACTATCAGCCTTCAGACAAACACTGTAGGCATTTTTATTTTCTGTCTAGTGGACTGAGTCAACCTCAAATTAAGTCAAAATCTACATTCATTTGATAAGACCTTAGGAATTTTAAGTGTTTCAAACCAATAATATCCCCAAGGAAACATAAATCAAGCCCTTTTGGTATTGCTATTTATATATTAAGCCATTAATGAATAATATAGAGTTGGCTTATTAGATATAACAAAGTTTAAATTATGCATTTCTTTTCCTGACCTCAGAAATAGCTGATCAAATGATTAACCTTTCTAATATCTCTGCTATAAGTAACTGTTGACACACTTTAGTACAAAAGTCACTATAATTTTCAAAATTACTTTAGTTAAACTTACATTTCAAATGCATAACAAATCCAAGACAAATCAGGGAGTACTGCACTGGGTGTTGGACAGGCTCTCTGATGAAGGGTATTAGCTAGTATTAGCTTTGGGGTTTAATGGACATCCTAGCCAGCTGTCATACTCAATTAAGTAAGTACAATGTCAATATTTTTCCAATTCTTATATTAACAAAATATCTCAGAAAATGCTCTCATATAGAGAATAGTGAAGAATTCCTAAAGCTCACCGGGGGGTGTTGTATTGGCATGATGACGAGACCTTGGTTACAAGCTCCTTCTGCCTTCCTATTGGTATAGGTGATGTAGATGCATCTTTTCTAACTTCTGCCACTGTCCCTGTATAAACAATAAAGAACATAATTTGGGCAGTCAGTGCAAAGAAATTAAAAGTTTATTATAGATATCCCCAAATTCAAAGACAAGCTTGTTTTTACTCCTAAAATGGAGAAATAACAGATAAAAAATTGGTTTTATAAGCATCACAAAAAAAAAAAAGCATCACAGTTGGTACCGTCGTGTGTGTGTACGTGTAATTTTTTTAAAAGTACATTTGTGTAATGCTAGACTAGAGATTTTGTTTATAAACCCAATAGTCTGTCCTATTTATGATGATTTGGGTTTACTGTGAAAATGCCTAAGAAAGTAGATTGTTTTGTTTCCTTTGACTAGGATAAGCTCTCTCTTCTTGACAAAGCAGAAAATTCTAGCACTTTGTATCAGCAAATCTTCCAAATTTAAATGATCTTATTTAGAAGTTTTCACAAACATACATTTTGAAAGTTTCTTTTAAAGAACTCTACACTAAGCTATGACAGGTCTTAACTAAAAGAGAGGCTCAACTAACTACTTATTCTATAGCCCAGCAGTTTCCTAAACAATAGTCTATCTTGTATAGCATCAAGATTCCAAATCAAACATATTTTGCTGAATTCACACACCTACAATATTTAAATAACAATGGAATACCCTTCTCTGACAAAACTAAACAAAAAAGGGATACAAATGAATGACCATTTTGTATCTGTATATTCAAAATAGAACAGATACACAGCTACTTTCTCTTAATTCAATAAATAGAAAAATTCGTTCTAATAGTGTTTGTGGACAGGATATCATGTCTGCATCTTGTACAATGAGTAACCACTAAGACAACAATATGCAATGTATTAATTATTGAAACTGTCCTATTAATCGGTTTTGAAACTGTCTCATTGCTATTTGTTTCTCAATAAAATTATTTTTAAAAAAAGATTCCAAATCAGTACACTGGCTGATTTGGACCCTGTTCCTTTGTAACAAGCAAAACTTAGTTTACAATTACTTATTTCTTCCAGAATGCTATATAAAAAGATGGTATTTACACATATCTTTTTGTTTGATTTTTCTATTGCTTTTCAAATACCACAAAATATCCCTGTCTTTGTCTCAGAAGACTGTAAGAATCCCCTTCAGTTTTCTTCTGATTCCTGGAGACTGGTATCCAAGAAGTTATGTGGGATGATCCAACCTTTCTTGGAGGAATTACACCAAGACAGCTTTGGAGTGTTGGGAATATCAGACCTAAAAATGCCAAGATGGTATGTTAACTCTGAGAATGCCAAAAGTTTCAGTGTGACCAGAGAAAATAGGAGCTAGAGAAAGCTTGAGTCCTAAATCTGCAGAGCTTAATATCAAAGTAGTTACCACAAGCAGATGCACTCGCATATGCCTATAATCCCAGCTTCTAAGAGGTTGAGGCAGAAGGATCACAAATTCAAGGCCATCCTCTGCAATTTACAGACCCTATCTCTAAACAAAAAGTGGATGTACTTCAATGTAAAGGTCCTGGCTTCAACACACAACATCCCAAAAAAGGCTGGGCATAAAGCTTTGTGGGTAGAGAGCTCTTGCGTTAAATCTCCATTACAAAAACAAGAAACAAAAACCCACAATACAAGATCAAAACCTACTGCCTTTAGTATTTGTTATTCAAAAGTTATATTCCTAATATTAACTATATAAACAGTTAGTCTAATTGTATAATTCAGTCGTCTTTGTATTCACATATCTGTGACAACCTCCATCCAAGCCAGTGCATATTCATATTACATAAAACACTATGAGTCCTTAGAATGTAGTCAGTAACTATCTGAGAACTTACCGTGGGACTGATTAAACTCAGGCTTTGTTTATAGAGAAAGGGAAGACAGGTGAGAGTAAGGAAGTGAGATGCTTTTTATACTTCTATAAAGAAATACAACTTCAGGCAATATAAAGCAGTAACAACTGCTAACACATACAGTATGCTTAGGATATATCCAGGCACTATCCCAGAACTTTTCCATATTTTGGTATTCAACTGCTCTGAAATTCATTGAATTTGGTATTCCATATATCTTGACATGAAAAATTTCCCCTGTAATTGGCATTTATTTGGTATTTGATGTATAAGCTAGAACTTGTTGGCACTGATTGCCTCATGACTTGGTACTTTCTCCTGTCAAAACAGTTTATTTGGTATTTATTTTTTTAATATTCATTGTACCCCCTAGAACAAATTACCAATGAGTACCAAGGTACCACTATATCCATGTATCCATCCATCCATCCATCCATCCATCCATCCATCCATCCATCCTCCTATCCACCCACCCACCCACTCATTCACCCTCCTGTCCATCTATCTTAACAGCTTCCACAGGGTATAATTCGAATATTACAAAGTCTACCACTAAAACTGTATAATTGATAAATAGTAGTAAATTTATGTAACTATGAAAACAGAGGTATAAGCAGTTTTCAAAAAATTATTTTCATAGCATTTACTTCTTTTTATAGTTCAGTTTTAGAATATTTTTTACCCAAAAATTTCCCATTTGAACTTGACATGTGTTCCCTGTCTTGGCATCTTCTACTTTCTCTATCTCTAGTTTTACTTTTTCTAGAAATTATTTTTATCTTCATAAACCTCTTTGCTACCAATACTATTTTTATATCAAATTTACAGATAAGGAAAATAAATGATAGGGAACTTAAGTGATTTGTCCAGGGTTACGAAGTTAGTAAGTAATGGAGCCAACATCCACATTTAGGTAAACTGGAGAGTTTCACCATTACAGTATATTATAATAGTATGAAAAACTGATGCATTAAAGATATGGTAGAGATTACAGCTTCCATAGAATTAGGGAGCTTTGATGTAGGAGATAGAATTTTTATTTATTTATTTTTTATGTATTTAGTATTGGGTCTACAGGGTCTCACTACACAGATAAGACTCAGTGATCTTCCTGTTTTCAGCTTTCCCAAGCACTGGGATTATAGGTGCATGCTACCACACCCAGTCTGAGTCACTGCCTCAGTGTGCTTCCAGGGAGGGGCTAGCACGGCATGGGGATTGAACCCTGGTCCCCTAGCATTTGCCTAACCAGGCACGTTAGTCCACTGAGCTACCTGGCCAGCTCTAGCAGGTAGAATTTTGATAGAAAAAAGTAAGTGTAGAATTTGAATCAGAGACATAAGCAAAAGCACTAAATTGGAATCCTTAAAGCTAAATATTTATTAAAAAATCTTTATTGAACATCAGCATGTCCTTATATGTTGCAAATGAATTTACATTATCTCATTACTCCATATAATAGACTTTACTGTATTGTCCTCATGTTACAGATAAGGACGTGAAGCAGCATATTCAGTATAACACAGTCAAGGGTCGGCCAAATAGTTCAGTGGTTTAAAGTACCTGCAAGCAGGTGCAGGGGCCAGGGGTTTGATCCCTGGGCCTGCCATGCTGGCCCTGCCCCAGGGGCATGCTGAGATGGCAATTGAGACTGGGCGTGGTGGCACACGCCTGTAATCCCAGCTCTGGGGAGGCTGTAAACAGGTGGATCACTATGAGTCCGATTTAGTAGTGAAACCCTGAACACCCAGTAGACCCTTCCCTAAAATACAAAAAACAAAGCAAAAGAAAACAAAAAACAAAAACATAACACAGTCAGTAAAGCTGGGTTTAAAAGCTGGGTCTGTTTGACCCTGTATCCCAGATTTTTAAGAATTATGCTCTCAAAAATAAACAAAACAGAAAAAGGAGAGCCACAAGGAAAGCCAACATTTTGGCCCTAGCCTTCTGAGGTCAATTAAGACTCAGGACATACGAGAACCTGTACTGTAACTCAGTTGTGTCCCAAAATTTCTGATCAAGGAGATTATGGGGCCAAAGAGGAAAGTGATCGATGATGTAGAGTGTGCCTAAGGAGAGTCACATGGAGAGAAAACATTCTCTCAGGCTTTCACAGAAAGCAAATTGACCAAGCAATGGCCATGACTCATCCACATGGCTGACACTGACAAAGATCCACAAACTGAGGTACAGGGTCTCAGGATAAATCCTGAGGGGATTTGACTGACCTTATCAGATACAAAAGCTACAATTCTTGCTACATAGGTTTTGCTATATCTTGGCCTTAACCATCCAGCAGAAAAGTATAAAAATGAAGTATAAGAAGTAAAGCCATATTGTTATGTTGAGCTTTGGGGGACTCAGGTCAAGAGCTTCTGACATTATCAGTCATGTGGAAGACCCAAAACTATTATGGACTACTGGATTATTTTGGAATACTCTGTTGAGTTCACACACCTATAATATTTAAATGATGGAACTAAACAAAAAAAGGGGATACAGATGAATGTCCATTTTATATCTGTGTATTCAAAATGGTTAGGATAGATATATAGCTATATTGTCTTAATTCAATGAATAGAGGAATTTGTTCTAAGAGTGTTTGTAAAAAGGATATCATGTCTGCATCTTGAACAACAAATAACCACTAGGAAGGCAGTATGCAATGTGTTAATTATTGAAGCTGTCCTACCAATTTGATTTGAAACTGTCTCATTGCTATTTGTTTCTCAATAAAATTATGGAAAAAAATAAACAAAAAATAAATAAAACAGTAACAAGTGTTTAAAGGGGTTACCTGTGGCTGAACTTAGAATACAGTCCAATAGACAAAATTGAGGTAGATACAAAAGTCTACTACCACTCTCACTGTCTGGGTAGAATTCTGGGTGATTAAGGGGGAAATTAAGATTTGAGATTGAGGAGAGGAGAAGAAATGCCTGGTAGTGAAGAATGTAAGTATCTTTCCAGTGCTGGATTAGTGAATTTTTCCACTGCTGGACACGAAACCCAGTATGCACAACCTACAGGAGAAAAGGTTTAATTTAGTTCATGGTTTGGAGATGATTTAGTCCACATTCAAGTGGCTTGAAGGCCAGGGCAGAAAGGCATGGTGAACAAAGCTACTTAGTTCACAATGGGCAAGGACCACCAGAGAGGAATAGGCAAAGGAGCAATT